AACGCGCTGTGAGCACTGCGAGACTCAGATTGCTAAACAGCAAATTGCCCTGTCCGCCAAAGAGACTACAAAACTATCTGGATCTGTGAAGCCAAGATCCTGCTTCTACACAACTAAATGGTGTGGCTCTTGTTTATTCCAGTGGGAACAAAATCAAAGACACAGAAATAATAGTGCTGTTTCAAGAGTCTAAGTTTTCCTCTTTTTGCCACCTTCCATCCCAATACACTTTACAGCATTATTAAATTAAATAATGCAGTTAAATAAGGTGAATATATATACATATAGTTTCTATGTTGTACAATCAGTAACTAAAAAAAAAAAAAAAAAAGGATATTGGAACTGAATCTTAAATCCCTATTGCAGTTTCTGGAGTGTTCAGTTTGTTTAGTCCAAACCATACTCCTTAAAACAAACTAATATTCTTGCTTAAATTATTTAATCAGAATCACATTTCTCTATATATTTTATATCATAGTTTATTCTCAAACCTGGGGATAACCTCTCATTTCCTGAAAGCTCTTAAAGACTTCCTTAATGAAAAAGTAGAGAACTCTGCTGTTTGCAAATTCTGTTTACTTATCGTTTACTTACAAACTAAAGTAGTTAATTTAATGAAGGTGGGAAAAAGTGAAAAAGAAAAAGATTAATGTGGTGCCCACAGCCATTTCCCAAATTTTTCAGAGTTTATAGACCTAGGGAGACAGGGAAAGAGCAACTTCTCAGCAGTGCAGCAGAATAGGCTGAAATGACCCTGTGAAACCCAAGTGATTCTGGGAATTAAAGGATGTTCACTCCTGCTATGGTTCTACACTGCAAACTGCTTTTAGGGCTCCCAGTAGTACCCATTAGCAATAGCCAAGCTTTTCTGTTTTAATTTAATTTAATTTAATTTCCACTAACAAATTCCACCCTGTGGTGAGAATTGACAGTATCATGTTGAGAACCATTAAAGCATATTTGGATCAGTTTTACTCCATGTATATATAAAAAAAAAATTCCCCCACCCTTCTTAGTTTTCTTTAGACAAGCCACTTCATAATAAGAGTGAGGCAGACACAATGGAGGCATCGTTATACTGTGGGATACCACCATAGGGAGTGTGGTTGGAGATACAGCAGAACATGCCTTGGCATTACACTGCCAGCGTGGCCTGGTCCCAGCTCCACTCTGAACCTCCCCCTGATAAACCAGAATGGAGCCTGACAGCACTGGTGGTGTCCCTCCAGTCGCCACTGGGACAAAGCTGGGTCCCCTGTCCTGCTTCTGTAGGAAGACTCTGTATATCACTGCTGCTTCCTTTTCTCCTTGAGTGTTTTCTGTTCTTTAAGGACATCTTCACACTTGAAACATCTTCATGCTTATGTAGCCTTGGGCTCTACTGGGAATTCCTATTGGGAATTCCCCCACTGGGAATTCTGCCACCGGATTTCAAAGGAAAGAGAATAATAATGCTCTTCATTAATATAGGCTTTTCTGTCATGACTTTTAGGCCCCTATCCAGGCAAGCAGGCAAGCACATGTTTAACATTAAACACATGAGTAGCCTCTATTCACATGCTGCAAGCTAGAAATGCTCATTAGCGCTGGATCATGGCCCCAGCTGAGATGCTAACACACTTCAGCTCGAGAGCCGGGCCGGAGAAAAGGTGGCACTGAAACCTTTCACTGTGGTTGCACCATCGCTGGCTGAGCAGCTTCGGCGATTCCCACCCAAGCGCTGCCACTCCAGCGGGCGACGGGCCGTCCATTTGGCAGCAGAGGCACGACCTGCTGAGCTGCGACAATGTCATCATTCAGAGCGGGTTAGATGATGAGCACAGCTCAAAACGCACCACATTCAAGTGCATCCTCTGGAGTATTTTCAGCTTGAGCATCCCTCCAATAAATGGTGAAAGGGGAACGATTTGGGGCAACAGGGGAATAACATGATTGCTGCGGTCTCTGAGATGCTGCTGAGTCCTGTAATGCTGCGTGGTGAGTGCCAGAGGAATTACATGTGGCTCTTCAGACCTTTATGTCACACGTCAAAGCATGGACTGGTCAGGCTTTGAAAACCAGTGTTGGACGTGGTTTCTGTGCTTTCCTAGGGCTGGAGTGTTGCTTGGGATGTGGGGCAAGGAAATAAAACAGATTCATGTTTTCTGCTTTCCCCGCACATGAGCTAGAAGGGGAGAAAAGGCAACAAGACCCCTCTTTTCACTGCTTAGCACTGAGTTAGAGGGCTGTCATAGTTCAGTGCCAGTACAAACCAGCAGATCCTTCCTGACCAAGAAAATGCAAAATTTTGTGACTCAGAGGGAACATCTCCATGTATCCTGGGGCAATGCTTAGGCAAAGTCACCTTAAACATGGTGACTTGCTCAGGTCTGTGCTGAAAATCACATTCCAGACTAAACAGTCTATAACTCTGGATTAAAATATCCTAAATGAAAAGACACATTTTTTGAAAATGCTTTTAATACTGTTTTCTCCCCAAAAAATCATTACCTCCTTCAACTTCTCAACAAGTATAAGCTTCACAGTTTTCCTGCCTCCTCTGGAATTACTAGGTCATTGCAGACATCAAAATTAATGAAGAGATGAAAGATTCAGCAGAAAGGCAAAATCTTACTGGAAAAATACTTCTTAGTATCATAAGCATTTCAAGAATAATATCTAGCAGAATAACAAATGCAAGATTCTAATGCTCAAAAGTATACACATGAAAGACACTAGACTTTGAGGTTATTTTTTTCTTTAAAACACACATTCATTTAAAAAAGTGAATGTTTCCATGTGCTTCTGGGGCTTTACATAAGTGGGATTTCCATTGCCTAAACTTTCGCAATACCTTGAACTCAGCTAATTAGCCAAAACCAGCCAATACAGACAGGGAGCTCTCTTTGCTTCTCACCTTCGCTGCTGGCACAGTGGTGGGAGCAGTGCTGCAAGCACTGGCCTTTGGACTTCACCCCACAAGACAGATGGGTTGTGCTAAAACACAGTTCCCCATGTGCCCACCCATGAGCACTCTGATACTTAGCACTGAGGAAATGGCAGAATGGTTATGGCTAGCTTGGAGCTGACTTTGAGCAGGGATGAGGGAGGAGGAAAGGTGTCTGGGGGTTAAAATAAAATAAATACATATTCAAAATAAATGCTATGTGCAGTTCAGCTGATCTTTCTTGTAAGAAACAATGATGTCTGGCTTCTTTGTGATACAGACTGTTATTTCTCCCTGGCAGTGGCTTCTCAGCTGAACATAGGAGAAGAGCTGCTAACCTGTAGCTCTATATATCACACTAGTCCTGATAAAGCAATATCATTGTATGATGTTTCTATTGGAAAAAAAATGTTTGTCAGAAGCTCTCTTAAATAGTCTTGAAACAGATTCTTCCTCAGCCTTACCTGCACAGCAAGATGACCTCTCAGCAATTCACTCTAACAGAAAATAAGAGCAACTAATATATGGGATCCTCTAGTGCTCCCATACTGCTGCTAATAGAAGAAAAATCAATATTAGTTCCAATATGAATGGAGTGTTGGATTGACTGAACAGGGAGCTTTGAAATAAATATCTAAGAAATGTTTGGATGAAACGGACATCTTTACAGACATTTGGTCTGCATTTCTGAAATGTAGATGATTAAATCCACATTGTTGGCTTCTTCCCCCTCTGCACTATGTCTTTCTTTACATCTTGCAAAAAATTTATGAACAAAGTTATTGTAAATCTGCAATGTCTGTCTTGTCACTTAGATTCTTTTCAGAAATTCTGCCTTGCCAATGTAGATATACAATCCTGTATGATTAATATTTATTACTTATAATTCTAAATACAATGGAAGGTCACCAAAAATACCCTGCCTAAAGGGGTCTGGAGTCCTTTAAAATCTCACTGGTGATGGATCCCGAGTCTTGAGAACTGAGCTCAAAAATCTTAGCAAAATACTTTTCTATGTAAGATTTCCAGTATTTCCTGCTTCTGACTATGTCTAAAGCCAAAAAGCACAAAGGTGAGCAAAAGTTACAGATCTGAAAACATGAGCTTGGATTTCAAACCCAAACTAAGGTCAGGGAATGCCTGAACCTGTCCATAATCTTGGATCAGTCTATAATAGAGCTATGAGTAAGATGCAAAGTTAGGATGCAGAGTGAGACTTGAATTCACACAGAACAGACATGGTAGCTGAAAATTGTTTAATTTTCCTCTTATTCTTTCTCATATCCATCAATACAGTATAGATAGATTTTTGGGGGGTGTTATTAGAAAAATGAAGATATTTAAGAATTTTTTTCTTATTAATTAAAACAAAGGTACCCTGGGTATATTTTTTTTTTAGAATGAAAGCCTAAAAAGATTTTAAGAACATGAAAATCATCTTACAAAAAGCTCATTTTCTTTTTGGTATAAACCCAACCATTTTTAAACATAGTTCTTTTAAAACAGCTGCAATTTGAAATCACTGAGATCAACTGTGTTTTGCCCCTCTTCTAGCGAAACTATAGTAAGACATAGAACATTTCAGAACCAGGGGATTCAGCAAATTGGTGAAGATTCACAGAGATGGAAGAAATCAGGACAGACCCCAAACTGGTTCACTTACCCTGCCTGAGATCTGCGGTATGTTTGGACAACCTTCTTTAAGGAGCTAAATATAGTAAGCACAGAGCAAGAATCTGCATCTGCCTCTCCATCTTCATTCAAAGATTCACTGTAACTGTGATTAAGTAAAGCCACTAATTGAAGTACAAACCTGGAAAAAGACAACTGAGAAAAATCTGGATTCTGTTGATCGGCATGCTTCTAACCAAATCATAGTGAAAGCAAAAATATCCCAGTGACCATTAATCAGATAGAAGACTTTTCACTAGAAACTAATTTGCAGAGCATTGCTAATAACACTTTTCTAAGCAGACAGAGCCATCTTGACCAGCGTGCTGAGTGAAAACAAAACCAGAAAGACAGAGGAAAGGACTGAGTCAATTAAAATAAATAAATAAATAATTGCCTTAATTTACAAAAAAAAAAAAAAAAATCACAAATAATTCCAATCTCATGAAGAAATGTTTTTAACAAGCCACATGTGCTTGTGCAGACACTTCTAATCTCATTAGATTTTTCTGGCTGCTATTAGTGTTCTCTGAGCCAGTTGATTTCTCAGCAATATTTTAAAGAGTGCAAGCCTTTGCCCTCAAGTCTAGCCCTTGTTAAAATAGTCCATTTTAAGGAGATGACTTGGGAGTTCATGGATTTTCTTCCAAGGTTTTGAAAGTTCAGAACAAATTGACCACTGCATGCAAAACAATAGTCAACCACAAACTATCTTCACAGTCAACGAGCAACATTCTGCTCCCAGCTGGGTTTTGTGTGAAAAGTGGAATAATCCCACCAAAGCAACAGGATGGCTTCAGACTGTCATCAGCATCACACGGCAGAGGCTGGCTTTCGATACTGTCTCCAGTCCTCCAGCTCTCTGGCTGCAAACAAGCCTGCTGCAAGGTTCCCCTCAGTCACAGCTCACCAGATTGGGGTTCCCCTCAGATCAGTGCAACTCTAGTAGGTCTAATCAGAAGGGGAGCCACATCGGGTCACAGCTCAGCTTTGTTTTATCCTTGAAAACAATGATAAATCGCCCCAAACTGAAAATCAACAGCCATGTGCACTGCTATACATACTAGGGCACATGAGTTTCATGCAAAAGAGCTGTCATTCTGTATTTGCTGAAGTAATGTGCAAACAATCACTAGTATAAAGCAGATTGTGTCAGGCAGATGCTACAGATAGAATAAAATAATCAGTTTTAGCAAACAGTCCTAATACAGAATCATGTAACCCAGATCAGTAAACCTTGGAGGAGTGGGACTAAGGCATCATGCATGGATTTCTGCTAGCATGCTTGCTGAATTTCTGGCTGGAAATGTGCCTCTATCTTTCAGTCTTCCCTTTTTGAGGCTCTCAAAGCAAACTTCTCCTGGGGTGAGATGATGAGTGCTTGAAAGTGACCCATCTGGAGCCCAACGCGAAGAAAGCGCTTCCGCTGCCTGGAATCCGTGTGCAGCGACAGCTTTCTCCTGCCTATCCAAGTTTCCCAAGATAGCAATTATAAAGGAACTGGCAACCATACAGTCAAGATGACAATATCCTCCGTGGTTTGGTTAGCTGTGCCAATTCCCTCTACTCGCTGGAGTCAATGTGCTGCCCCCATTATTGCTATGTCTGCGTGTCTCTACCAACTAGCAGATCCACTGGGCATTTTGGCACTAGCCCCACTCTTCCAAGGGCAGCCTGATCAATCGCTCATTCACTTTCTTCCGTTTTAAACATTCAGATCCAACAGCATCATGCAAATTTTATGCAAAGTAGCATTTGCAAGTCTGACATATTCACTCAGGCTTCCCCCTCTTGCGCCAAGTTAAAAATAAATACCCTATAATCTCTTGGGCCTGATAGAACAGAATATGTATTCAGAAAGTTTTGGAAAATATAACTGCTAAGAGCATTTCTCCTTTAGGGTCAAACTCCTTCTTTTCCCCTCTCTCTCATATTTTGCTCCTGCCTCAAGGATCTCAATAGCACTGCAGGAAAAAGTGTCCATGAAATAACCTACAAAAGAACCAGTTCTATGTGTTCCTAACTCTCTTACTTGAAATTTCAGCTAATATCCTATTTTTAAAACTCCAAAGAATACAGGTGGTTATATACCCCCAACATGAAACAAGAAACTAGTAAAGTGGACTCATTTCCAATACTGATTGTGAATAATACTAGTTGAGCCAGATCTTAGGTTCAGATTCCAAAGGGTCCACACCCCCCACACTAGAGCTGCCTTCTCTTTTCTCCAGGGAGAAGGAGATTTGTCCCTGACCAATACACTTGAACAGGTGAAGTCATAGGGATGCCAACCAGCTAGCATAATGATAAAGTATATCTTAAGGCAACAAGGAGAAGAGTCTGTAAAAAGGGGATATCGAGCCACTGCTGAGGTCAGTTAGGACTTGCTGAGCCGCTTGGCCACGTCTGCGTAGGCTTGCTCAATTTCTTTGTCTGCCGCACAGGTGTTGGTGAATTCATCCCTGGCATACGCGTTCTTCAGGTACCGCCACAGCCCTGTCATCTCTGCCGGGAACTCAAAGTTGCGGTACTTCTTTGCAACAATCTAAACCAAAGATAAAAGAGGGAAAAAAAGCATCTTGCTAGTGATATAGCTCCAGATTCCTTTTTAGGGAGCTTCTTACTCTTTCTTGGCACATAATTAAGAGCAACAGAGAGAAACACTTGGAGACTCAGGGGCTTATAATAGAAAAGCCTGAAAAGTGAACGTTGGTTGTCCCCTATCTTGCAAGGATGCTACTTAGCCTAAGGACAATCTAAATCAATGGCCTGGATACTGTAACCAAATTATGACCTTTATGGTAACTGAATTTTGTTAACTTTACCATATTGGTTTTTGGTGGGTTTTATGAGTTTTAGGTACATCACTTAAAGCTGAGACACCACATAAGAAAAAGCTGATTAGCTGAATCATAAAAAGCAAGATAGATTTAGGGGAAAGACATTAGTAACAATTATATATATTTTCATATTAACTATAATATTTATATTTAACATATTTTACATATACTGTATTCTTATTTTTAATATATGAAATATATTTTGTCAATGGTGTCAGAGGATGTAACCATCTACAGATGTTGTAAGGCTGTATCCACGTTCATGAAAAGGAAAAATTCAGGGTGGTATGGGTACCATGATTGAGAAACCAGGATGATTTAGCAGGCATTAGAAACAGGAGTATTAGGATAAACTGGGGGTGGAAACGGTTATTTCAAGACTTGTTAGACTAGGAAATGGTCTATCAAGGGAAATTTTCGATTTCTAAGAACACTCGGGCCCTTATTCAGGAAAATAGTTAAGTGCATACTTAATTTTAAGCACCTGTATAGTCCCACTGAAGTCAATGGAACTAATCTGTGCTTAAAGCTAGTTGGTTGGTTAAGTAGCTTGCTGGATTGGGATATTTTAGTTTTCCTGTAAGAACATACCATATAGAATAATCCTGTGGTGACAGAATGTACTAGCTGATAGGAAGGGATGGATTAGCTGATTTAATGAGTGCTTCCAATCTCTAATTTTTCTGACAGTATAAAATTGTTCCTGGGCATAAATTACACACATATGTGCCACAGAGTTCCCTTTTATTTTTAAAGCACATGGTAGAGCTGTTTTCCATCTCAGATTTTTTAGGACAGTCATGTTCTCAGAAGTGACTGTGATTTGGTTTTATTACCAGGACCCACTTGGTATTTTCAAGTCCAAATCCTGTCCTAAACTTCATTTAGCTAAGCATTCTTGCCTACAATGATGCTTCATACACACGAGGAAGATAAAACCTGCTGGGCAACTTAAGTCAAGATTTTCACAATTTCCAGCGCACGTCTTCCATCAAATGAAAAAGTCTTACTAATTTACCCTTTTTTTATCTGTAAAATGCATTTCAGGCAATATCCTATGGCTATGCTTGTCTGAGAAAGATTTTAATTCTCTTTCGATATCTTTTCACTTCATGACAAAGAGACAGGAACCAGTAAGAGGCCACACATTCATTTTGCATTGTCTGACTCTAACGTCACCAATGAAGATGAGCCAAAGAGCAAGCTAAACTTGTGATGATATTATCACATTTCTTACTTGGTGACTTACACGCTTTTTTTTTTTTTTTTTTTTTTTCATGTGTGCAGGCAGCTCCCAGGCAAGTTTATGTTTTGGCTCATGGAGCCAAATTAGATGCATGACTTGGTTTTAATTCCTAGCTTTCTTGCTTGCCAAGGTCTGCCAGGTACTTGCTTTATTCTAAAGAAACACGTAACGTGATAAATTAAATGCAACATTTAGAATGCAGGATGATGTACACCACTTTCACTATACCAACGACCATTGTACATCTTAAATCCTGGACCTACCAGATGGAAGAAATATTCCCCAAAAAGATGGACTGCTGCTCTTAAGTTACAAATGGGTGGGAATTGACAAAAGTTTTGACATCTCTCTTAAGAATAATGGGAACTGGGGTACTAATTAATATCAAATGCTGTTACTTGCAGCAGGGTAAAAATAAAGAGATGGGATACCTAGATCTTAATATTGTCTTTGCCACTAACTAGTGATCAGACAATTTCCCCATGTACTAAATACAAAGTTGCTTAGGTTAACTATAGGAAACACTGAGGACTAAAAGTGTGTTTCCAACTCTGCTCTTCTAGGACTTAAGATGCCTCTGCCGAAATACATGTTGGCTTTAGACAACGGCTGTCAGAGAAGTGCACTTCATTGTCACATAAGGCTTTGACCATCGCATGACATCTTTTACCTTGACAACGTGGAGTTTGGGCAGAAGGTTGCAGTCAGCAAGTGTCAGGTCATCTCCATCCAGAAACTTGCGTTTAGATACTTTCTCCTCTTCAGTGCTGTGTGTATCAATCTCCTCTGGCAGAGGGGTCCTCAGATAGTCATCCAGCTTCTTCAGAGCCTTCACCAAACCTCTTTCAAGGGCTTTGACAAAAAGTAATGAATAGGTGATTAGGGCAGCATAAGAATTATTTAGAAACACTCATTGTCAATGGCTATGGTAGTATCTAAAAAAAAAAAAAAAAAAAAAGTCAAGAAACATTTCTTTGTTGATAATTTGTGCTCCAGTGACTACACAATCTGGCAACAAAGTAGCCCAGCAAGGTGTGCCTGAGGGTAAAGCTCAACCATCAGTGGAAAAAGGGGACACGGGAAACATTGCGCCATGTATTCTGATGAGCACCAAAAAAAAAACAACCAACCAAACAAGCAAAACAGTGAAAGAAATCATGGAAGTAAGGAACAGCTTGCCAGTATGAGATACCAATAAAACACATACACCCTGTGATTTTCTTCTGGTCTGTTGAGGCTATCACACAGTAAATTGGAGATCTGTGCACCACTACATTATTTTACTAAGCATCCAGGTTGGACTGTAATAAAGAGGAATTTTTTAGCATTCCTTCAGCTCTAAAAAGTTGTAGTTTTATTACTTTTAAATCCCTTTCATAGTAATTAAAGGCAATAGCAATAATTCCAGAGATGCTAGCCAAAGCTCTATGGAGCTGGAAGATACACTACAACTGAAATTAAAGTAATACAACAATAATTAAATACAAATCTACAAAAAATAGATGATATATTCAGCAGCTGTTCACTTCAGGTTCAACTTAGGTGCAAATTCTCTTTTTGATATGTCTCAAATCAGTTATTACAGAGGAGAAGAGACTTTGGACCTCTCACTTCAATTACTAAAGACGGTGTCCTGCACCGCTGCTGGCTCCAACAAATTCCACATTTAAAATGCCACTCAGACATAATATACAGCAGAGTGAAAATTTTGTATTTAAAAATATCAACCTAGGCACAGAATTTGTGTTCTTATGTGTTATCGGCAGGATAATAGAAAAGCTTGATTGTAATAATGGACTTAGAGAAAGCTGAAATGAGTGTATGCAGGTTTGCAGGTTATTTAAACTGCAAGCACTCTGGGCAAGAAGGGCCTTTTGCATCTCTGTTCAAAGGGTGACAAGCATGATGGGGTCCTGGCCCCTGAGAAGTGCCCCAAAGTGCTAAAGCAGTATAAATAAGAAACAGCAAGAATTTACAATGTGAAAAAATAACATGACTCATGGGCTTAGGGCCAGAATTTCAGCTGGTGAAAATTACCTGCAGTGATTTATACCTGCTGCAGATCTGGCCCGGAGTCAGCATTTAAGGCCTAATCCTGTAAAATCTTGTATCTCTGAGTAACTTACTGCCATTTAACTTAGGGGAGACTACTCAATGCATCAAGCTACTCCGGCGGTGTAGCACTACAAGGCCTATGGAGATAAATATATTTATGGAGAAAAATGCAAGCTTAAACAGGCTGCAGCAATCGCCCTGCGTAGAGCAGCTTGCTGGCACAGGTAGCTCCGCTGGCTCTGCTGTCAGCCACCCCTGTGTTTTTGGCACAGAGAGAAAGGCGGCGCGTACGGGGCCATTGAGAGAGCAGGAGCTGAACACCACAGAACATGATTTCTCTGCTGCCCTAACATCCATTAAACCTTGTGCCAGTGGTGGAAGTCAGATTAAGCGGCCTGATGTCTCGCTCCCACTGAAGCCTCTTGGCCAAGCACCAGGGAACCATACCAGCTCTTTTGTGGCTGATTCTTAGACACAGTGGCAAATCCTGGCTTAATTGATTGACTGGAGAAATGACTGTGATCCAACTGAAAACACCCCAACAAACATAGCAGGGAGGGAAAGAATTTTATTTCTGAAAGCAGAGCATCTAAAGTGACTGAAGTGCTGCCATCCATAAAACAAAAGTGTTGCCATCCCTTATTTAATCAATTCAAATTGAATTTTGACACTGACATTCTGCTGTCAGATGCTGGCAGTGGTGTCTTTAATCATCTGCAGCTGTGCTCCGCCACACAACTTCTACTGAAGGGTAATAACTGCATAGCATGTAATATACCCCCATGTGGCAACACTCAAAAGATTTAGCAATCTCTTCTTGGTTTGACCCATAACACCTGTTGAATATATAGTTCTTCTTCTCTTGGTCAGCCTCAGACTATGTCCTCTTACAATGAATTCATTTAGAGACAATGGAATCGAATTACTGCGATTTGATTCAATTTTGCCCATCCAGATTTTAGAGAACTGGCTTAACACTGAGCGTTTTCCAGTATCCCCTTCACCCAGTAGGATCGTTGGTTCTCTGAGTCATCTGTGCAATATATGCAGTACCGGTACTACCTTAGAAGCTTTGGCTTAGCCCATGGGCTCAGTTAGGTCTGTGTATGAAGACAGGAGCAGCAGGTGAGATATGTTCATGTAACTTTTCTGGAACTTATTAGGGTTGGGGTTTTTTTGCTCTTACTGATATATCAAAGTGCGTCATGGCTGTCTCAAAAACAATGCCTGGAGTGAAGCCTATTTGTGACAGTGGGAAAAACATCTATCTGAATTCTTACTTGGCACTTGCATACGGCAGCTTTAGGCCAGAAATAAGCGTATGTTCAGGGTTCAACGCATCTGTGACCCAATCTACAGCCTCTGCTGGAATCCACAGGATCCTGACATCTCACAGTGAAATCACCACATGGTCAGGACCATCTCATATCCTGATAGTCAAGAACTGGACAACTACTTGTGATGCCAATGACCCCATTTAAGTAATCAAAACTCTTCTGATCCTAGTAAATCTCTCAGAACAGCCATGAAAATAGAGGAGTAGTGAACAAGGGAGAACTGCCTTTCTTCCAACTGAATAGTGACAGAATTTTGAAAACCTAGGAGAATTAAGATCCTAAAACTGCCTTTTCAAATGGAGTCTAGGTGCACTGGATCAGATTTTTAAAGCCTGTCAATGATTTTCAAGTCATTTTTTGAAATCCATATGCAAATACTCATATTGCAAATCCTAATTTCTAGGTGTCTTGCCACATTCAGATTTAGCTATATGATTTGAAGTCCTATGTTCCTTTAGAAGGTGCTCAGGGAAATCCCCACTCAAATTAGGAGGATGCATAAAAGAATCTCAAAAATATTGAAGCAAGAGGCTTACAAGTGTATCATAACAGAGAGATACAAGTGTCTAATGATGGTATGGGTGGGAGAACCCACCTTATTTTTTAATTCACCAGTTACCCCCAGAAAGGAGAGGTATCAAAAGCAGGTCAGTTTTTTTTTTCTTGCAAAAAGTTTTTGGAGAAATGCTGTGATTTTACCAGTAGCACAGGGACAGTATTTTCCTGGAAAGTGGAAGACTGAGTTTCAAATGCCTTTTCAACATGATGTCAGCCCAGGTCTGCTAGATGAGACCCCACCAGTGGAATATCAGGTAATTTGTGCAGATCTGTTGAACTCTTTCACTTTCCATAAGTGACTCTACATTCATTGTATCACAACTGAAGGTTGACACCACAGGTAAAAGTCAGGAAAACTAAATCTCTTGTTTTCTTTCTTATCTGGTTGATATTTAAGAATTATGTGAAAGGTGAAAAAATGTGAACAGAGGTCGAGAACTAACCTCCTCAGAATAGCCTACAGCTCTGAAGGTTTTGGGTCTCCACTGAGAACTTAGGGGACAGCGGGCACTCACCAGAGCAGGGGTCTTGTGAATATCAGCCACAGCACTAGACTGAATTAAGGCATTTAAAAATATGTGACTAACTAAAAGGTGACTAATTCCACATTTGTGAATGTACTACACACAGTGAATTTCAGAAGTGGATAAGCAGTTAATTCCGTTGGCAACCTATCCTCCTGAAAACATCATTGAATAACTAAACAGGACTGCTGATAAACATCTGAGGCTCCACTGCAAGTCAATGGATGGGATTAATCTTCCCTGAAGTGAGTAAGTTAAATGAGTGGGTTTTAATTAAATACCCTGAGCTTCCTCTGTAGTCAGTTGAGTCTTTTCTACACTTAGTTTAGGTGACCCCTAAATCAGCTGTTTGGAGAACTTTTCCTGAAGTGTCTAATCTCAGCCTTGCATTGTCTGGGTAATGTCAGGGTGGAGGATTCAATATTACAACGCCAAGTGGAACTATGCCTAAGAATGTGGCTCTGTGCTGCTTTTGAAATTTCTACCTCCAATTGCTTCCCCACCCTGCAGACTTTTAGTATGCACTTAGAGATCCCAGATGTGACCAGCTCTGCAAGAGGAGCCCTGTCACCAGGTTACCTGTGCAATGGCTGCAATGTCTGAACTCCTGGACACCATCTTTCTGGATAGTGAAATCACTAAGCACAAAGGCATCAGCATCGTATTGCCTCTACAGTGATGTATTTAGTATAACTTCAAATTCTAAGAAGTTCTCCCTGAGTATATATAAAATCCATGGTGGAACCATCTCGCTCACCCTTCACTACTCTGCTCTGGGCTACTTACGCAGCCAGAGACAACTCAGAGAAATCATAGTCCTGCCATGTCATCCCACTAATAGTAAACAATGATATTAATAAAAAAACCTCATAAGCTCTTTGTGATTTTCCTTCTCCCTTCAAAACTACGCTTTTATACAACTTTACTTAAGAATCCTGAGTTAGAAGCCAGAAAAATAGCACTTTCCAACCTCAAAGCAACCACAGAACACTTAATGAATATATTACCATCTGTCAAATGCACAGGGTGAGGTTCAATTTAGCTGATGATACCTAATTCACAATGACGCTCTGTTTTCAGCAAAAGGTTACTTGATGTTGAACAATGAGATTAACAAATCCTGACATGCACAGAAATACAAATAATGTAACAAAAGTTAATAATTGGCAAAATTGTGCTCTCGGTTACACTGACATAAAAGAGGAGTAACTCCGTATTGTCAACAAGCTATTCCATATTTACTCCAGTTCAACCAAGAACAGACTTTGGCTCTGTTACTCAACTCTTCAAGCAAAAACTTCCTTAAACTATTAGCCTGTGCAACTATTTCCAGGGGACAAAGAGAATTCCTTGTGTCTTGAAGTACTTATACCACAAC